ATATATAATAGAGAGAGAGATAGATATAAACTCATTTTAAACACACAATTTGAAATAAGTCCTGATTCACTGTTTTCCATATAATTGTAAACCCCGTAACTCAGATGTTAAACAGCAAATAATGTTAAAATAATATCTTTTAAATAAATTTCCTGAAACAACTTTGTATAGTTAAAAACATTTTTAATAATAATAAAAAATATTTATTCACTAAAATAAAAATAAAAAAATGTGTGAAGCTACAAATTAGTGAAGCGGTTGCATCCTAGATGACGAGCAGATGTTTTAAGATTTTGTTCTAGTGTGGCACCTGGAGCAGATATAGAAAGAGTTCCCACAATGAAGAGCGAACAAAGACGAGAATTCTTTGAATTTTAAAAAGAGTCACTAAATTAGCAGTGAGCCATTGTTAGCCGGGCCACAGGTTAGTCCCAGGGATCCAGTTACGAGGGGCGGAGGTGGATTTTACAAACTCAGGCTGAAGAGCCGCAGTGGGATTGCCCTCACCAGCTGCCTGCTTTACAAAGCAAACTTCAAAGATAAGGCCTTGACTTACCCCCCTCCAGTTCCAGCCACACCACGATCTACACTCCTTCTTTGCGTTACACAGTGTGAGTAAAGCAACATGTCTCACGGTTCACTTGTAATGACTTATTCTGAGTGACACACTCCCCTTGCCGCTGTCGCCTCTGGCTTGCTTAGTTGGGGCCCCTTCATTTCCAGCGATATCGTTGACTTGATTGCAAAGATATTATTTAAACTGTACTGAGCTGGATGTTGACATCACTGAATTCAATGATGAACTGTCTTTAACTGAAAAATGAGTGTTTACTATTGTCATTTTGCATTATTGACACTATTTTCCTAATTAATGCTGTTCAGTTGCTTTGTCACAATCTGTATTGTTAAAAGCGCTATATAAATAAAGGTGACTTGACTTGACTTGACACTCCAGTGTGTGAGAAAATGCCTGTTGACTAATGGGGTTTGAGGGGAAACCTGTCACACAAGATCCCCAGATATGACCCCCAAATATGATGATCCCTTTGCAAAGGTCCCCCCGACTAATGTATACTATACAGGCAGCCATATATTTTCAAGCATAAAGACCAATTTATATTTGTGAGAAAAAACCTGAAAATATAAAGACATATTGTCTGCCAAATGAAATAACTGGCTTTTATATTATTGCTGTACTGAAGTCAAAGTTCTGTATTAAAATATTCTCTGGAAAATATTAAGTTTGTATTAAATCGATTTTTGTACTCACTATTACAGTAATGTTAGATATATGAACCTAAAGAGAATTTTTATTTCAACTAAAAAAATATATATATATATTTTTTTTATTAATAAAATATTTTTCTTTCATTATTATATTATATTATATTATATTATATTATATTATAAACATCTGATCAGGATTCTATAGGGTAAGATCTGTCAGAAAAGCTCTGAAGGGCACAGAATTCCAGAAGTTTCTAAATGGTTTGTTTTTTCCATCTCAAAACCCCACTGACCTGCTTTGCCGTCTGAATTCTTTGGCTTCTGAGGAACGGGACAATTACGGCATGGAATTTCAGTGAAGACTGACTTCATTTCTGCTCCTGAAATAAAGGGGTTGGAAGTCAGAGGCAAGGCCACAGAAAGGCAGCAGTGGAGTGATGAGATAGATGCCAAATTATTTGTCTTATTTCAACTGAGGGGTTGAGCTTACATGACCTCATCTGAGCAGCATTGCCCCATTTTACAGAAACCACCCCAGTCTATACATCTAACTGATGAGGTCACAATTCAATACTAATTAGACCTCTTGCGTGACACGTAAAGTGATACAGTATGCACGTTAAATTGAGACAGCTGATAGGGCCTCTCTTTCCCTCTTTCTCTCCCTCCACCCCTAAAACCATCTCCTCTTACACTACATGAGCCAGCTGCAGAGGCCCTGTCCTGTCAGGCGTGGTTGCTGCCTGCTGGCCTGTCCCCAACTATGGCTAGACAGCGGAGTCCCCCGATAGCTGACTGGACGTACGTCCGGCAGACATCCATAATGACCGTCTGCAGTCCTGAGCAAAGGATTAGTGATGGATTTTGACAGTTTTCCGAACAATGCCAGAAGAGTTCAACTACATGGGGCACAAGGAGAAGGGCACTTAATGCTGGGATGACGTTTTACAGATGTTCCACAGAAAGTAATGATAATCAGATGTAGAGAACAACGAACTACCGATCTGCTCTGATTTATAGACATCAAGTTTCACAATACACAGCATTAATCTAAATGAGTCATTCCAGTTACACACATGTATAAATGAATGAGGACAGGAAAATGTCTACTAAACTCTACATTTTCATTGTAATTTCACAATTTTGGTTTGACCAGGTTGGCATTTTACATGTACCTTTTAAATGTAATCACATCAATCAAATGTGTTTTCTTGTGAATAACTAATAAAAGCCAGGTACAAAATGGCATTATCATCTAGGAAGTGACTTCATTTTAGGAAACGACTGCAACAAATAAATACAAAATCACATATTAGCAATGGACTTAATAAATTATATTTTGTGGTTTTACTTGGTTTGTCTCATTCTAGAAATTAGTATGATCATATAACAATTTAAAAAGATGATTAAAAATAAGTTACTCATGTAAGTTAATGCTCAATCTCTTACTGAGCAATTGCTAACTTTACCTCATTATTTCCAGCATGTTAAATTCCTTCGTCCAAACATAATCAATTTTCAAAAGTTGCATATATAGCTCAAAATGTACAACAGGAAAGACCAGATATGTAAATGTAAGTGCATTAGGATCCTATAATGGTTGAAAAATGCTGAGATAATGAACACATCATTTTTGGCAACGTTTGACAAGAATGGCAAATGAAAATGTCAGTGTGCCCATGACTGTCATACAGCTTTTAAAAACAACCAAACAACCAATCCACCTATCACCTCCACTCAACCATTATGAGTGTCATTACTTGCTTACAGTCCAAACTCTCCCCAGCCCAGGGCACTGCCTGTTTAATCAGCACTAGAGCTGCTAGTGGAAAATCTCCATACGCAAGAACCAATATTATGAATTATGAAGAATTTATATTATGAATGTTGCATAATATCCTGTGATATTACCCCTCAGCAACTGTGCAATCATTTGCCAGGCCTCCTGTGACTGTGGCAAAACGATCTGGGGTAACGTCCACAGACTGAATGCTGTATTTAGGTTCGAAGCATTTGGCTCTGAGAATTCACATTTTTGACAAAGAGTGCGAGGGCGTAGAAAAAAATGGAAAGTTAATGGATTGAATTTAAATTTCAATGTGAAAGAAATAAAAAAAATAAGTAATGCACTGAAAGAAATGAACCAATCTATCACAGAGATTAATCTTCAGTGGAAGCATTTCAGGGTCAAGTTTACTAATGTGGAGTGAAAGAGACAGAGGGAGAAAGAGAGAGAGGTCCCCATATTCTCTCATTCCTCCCACTTGCTCACTGGATTTCACATTTACAGTGGTTAAAGGGAGAGTGGACCCCAGCCACACCCCCTGACTATAAAGCCAAGGCATAAGGAAACTCTCAGCTGAAATCACACGTGGAACTGAAGGATCTGGAGCTCACAAACTCATTCACACATGAACATACAGAGACTGGGAGGCGGCTTGGCATGCTGTTAACCCAAATAACAGATGACAGTGGAGAGAAGAGCACTTCTTATGAATGAGTGAGTCAGAAGTGACTCGGTCAAGCATCGCTGGATTGGTTGGAGCCCTAAAGCAGGACTGGTTACAGAAGCTTGTCACGTCCCATGCAGACTCAAGAAAGACACCATAGTGTGACCTGGTGCTGGGGGTGTACGATTAGAAATAGGAATTGAGTTCACTCTTGTGTTTGTGCAAAGTAGAACGATTCAACAGAGATTTCTGTGCAAGGACGAAGAGCAAAGTCCAGGGGTCCTGTAAGGTGCTGAGCATGTCTTTTGCGATGGTGCGACCAACCCCAGGTCATTTCTTGTGCTCTGAGATCAGCATGCACTCCGAGGATGACGACAACGGCAGTGAGGGTTTTGGATCTGACGACAAGTCCTTCCATACGACTGGCCACGGCTATGGCACCTTTAAGTTAGGTGCTCGTAAAAAGAGGTATGGCTGCCGACCGGTAGCGGATCCCAGTGAGCTCCGTTCTCAGATCGTCGAGATCCGCCAGCGGAACATTGCGAACGTCCGAGAGCGGGATCGCACAAACAGTGTGAACACGGCATTCACTGCTCTTAGGACGCTGATACCTACCGAACCAGCCGACAGGAAGCTGTCTAAGATTGAGACGTTGCGGTTGGCCTCCAGCTACATCTCACACCTGGGGAACGTGCTGCTGGTTGGAGAGGAGTGTGGAGACAGCCAGCCTTGTCTCAGGAGCTCTGGAGCCTTGTATCACCTCCACAACCTTCCAAAGAGCTTGACACCCAGCCCGGACTCAGAAAACTCACAGCCCAGACAGATCTGCACCTTCTGCCTCAGTAACCAGAGACGGCTGGTGAGTAGCTTGATGGAACGTAGCTGTCAAAACGTATGACAGGTTAGTTAGAGATCAAATCTGACTGACATTTAGAGAACAGTCAAATCTGGGAAAACTGGTTGTTTAATAATAAGTTGTTATTATTTTGTGAAAATCAGAGGTTAGAGGTCAGTGCATTGTTATTGATTCATGTCATTCAGAACTTTATCTGAAATTTAGAGGGATAGTTCTCAGTTCTCTTCCTCATGTCATTCCAAAACTGTATGTAATACTTCTTCTTCTTGTCTAAACAGTAAAAGCCAGTGGGGTCCAAAACAACATTGGACCCGATTGACTCTTATTGTATGGACAAAAAATATATTTTTCAAAATATCATCTTTTGTGTTGTACAAAAGAAAGAAGGCCTTACAAGTTTTGAATGACAAGAAGAAGACTAAATTATGACAGAATGTTCACTGTTGGGTGAACTATCTCTTTAAAGTGAAACGTTCTGAGTGTGCAATTGACAGATAAGCAGATATTTATGCATAGCTGTGTGAGCTTACATTAGCATAATTTTTTGATGTCATCAGATCATAAAAACAGATCACTTTGGCACTGAAACTTGGCAAAACCCTTAATATGCTTGGTCTGACTTCACTTCAGCCACATGAATTACCATCTAATACATTCTAAGCGAAAGTGTTGAGCCTCTGTGATGAAAACAAGTGATTCATTTGGCTCCAGACAAAACTTTCATAGAGAGGTCCACACAATGATATGAACACACTCTGGACAGGCTGTTATGCATCTGCTGTATTTGTGCAGAGCACTAGAAACATCTGGTCTATTCCCCTGACAACCTGAATGTCTTCCTGTGCAGTTCACGTATGTCCTGAGTTCCACCAAAGCCTTCAACACCCTCATCATCATTACGACGGCTAATCCTGAACAGACCCTTTAAACACCACGGTTTAATGAAAACACTCCAGATTCATCCTTTCATCTAGTATTTCATATGCTATTACTGAAATAATATGGCCGTATTCGATGGGCCACAGAGGATTATTTATTTATTAATCAAAATTTCATCGGCTGCAACCAATTAATGAGAGCTGATGAACTCAAACTTGCAATTTGTCAGTGTTCAACGGCAAACATTTAAAAGACTTTGTTTTATCAGCTGAAAGCACTTATTTTGCTGTTATAACTGAAGATTAATTTCTCTCTCAAAAAGGTTTCTTAAAAAACTTTTTTGTCATATGTACACCTACAGTCCCACAGGTATAAAGCTCAAGTACCCCTTCATAAATGCCAAACTAGAAAATTAGAAAGAAAGAAATAAACTAGTGGAATGCTTCTCAACCAAGCAAATTCAAGAAATGCAACTAACAGCTGTAAAATTATCATTATTTAAATTAATGTTACACTATTAATTACACACAAAAAAACATGTGTTTGATTGTTTTTTTTACATTCTGACAGCCCTTATTTTAAAAAATATTTTAAATTATTTTGTTTTTAAATGTTTTTAAATTAATGTTACACTATTAATTACACACAAAAAAACATGTGTTTGATTGTTTTTTTACATTCTGACAGCCCTTATTTTAAAAAATATTTTAAATTATTTAGTTTTTAAATGTTTAAAAAAAATTAAGTGTTTTTAAAAATGTGTTTTAAAAAGTACCCTAAAATAGGTAAGTAAATTTAATTAAATGTTTTAAAAAACAAGTTAATTTCCCCTGCGAGAATATAAAGCTATAAAGCTATCATAATCCAGTGGCAGTGTAATGGCAAGACACACAACCAGAAGAGCCTACAGATTAATATGTACCAGGTGCATCTGTGAATTGTGCTCAAAGATGACGTTATGGTAAGACCCCCAACACTCCAAGGCGATCTTATTCCCTAAACGAGATCTAACTGTGAGATGGTCCTGATTATGGTTCAGACGTCTGAATAAATCTGACCTGTTGGTAATGCCGGTCAGAGTTCAACTGCTCATCAGTGTTCTAATGTGTTTAAAAATCTAATGAGATAATTGTTTTTATGTGTCTGTAAAATGAATGGATGTACAAGATGTATAAAGACCCTTGAACCTACAAGCTACTCATTCTCTGATCGCTTTGTTTTCTTTTCTTTCAGAACAAAGACAGAGAAAGAAAAACTGTGTTAAGAAGTTAATGATGAGGAGAGGAGAGAGTAAAAGAGCGCTCCCATCACATCTGTCTGAAGAGGCGCGCCAGAGTGAATTGCTGTAAATAAGCTGTTTAATTGAATGCAACACTGCTTAACCAAGTTACAACAGCCTAAACTTCCTGGTGGATGGCATCATAATGGACAACTACACTGAACTTGCATATATAGAAACCAAAAACTATGTGAATTTCATCATAACCTCTTTTTTGTTTTATACAGAGGTGTTATACTTTTATACAAAAGTGATTAGGGATGTAACGATTCACTCAACTCACGATTCGATTCCATTCACGATTTTGATTTCATGATTCGATTCACGATTTTTTTTAACAAAATGAGATTTAAGACAAATTATAAATTAAATGTTTCCTTTTATTATTGCTTGGACAAAATACTGTACATTTCTTTGTGAAATTGAAATATAACACTATAATAATATACTAATATAGTACTTGTAAATTATTGCTCTTTTGTTGGTTTTGATTGCTTCTATTGTCTTCATTTGTTAGTCGCTTTGGATAAAAGCATTTGCTAAATAACCAAATTTAAATATAATGTAAATGTAAATAACAAAACTACACTGAAATTTTAAAACAAGCCCCAAATCAAATAAATAAGTAACACAAATAAAATAAATCTCTTCATATAAACAAACTAAGGCTTTGTCTGTGTTCTTTCCATTTAAAATTAGAGGCAATCACTGCATTTTAATCATGATCCAAACAAAGATGCTGCATACATGCAACATGAGCAGTTTTTAATCTAAATTACATTGTATAATTTTGAAATTTGAAACAAAAACAGAATGGTTTGACTTCAGTTTTGTGAAACTATGCATAAAATATATCTGCATGAAACCGAAACAGCAAATGCAGACGAGCTGAATGAGACGCAGATTCACTCTCTGCCAGCAGGTGGCGCTTAATGCATTTCCTTGGTTTCCTCTGTAAACAAAGCAGCGCTGCACTTATGAACTTTAATATGCATTATACAAAGGCAAGAGGAAAAGAAAAAATACCATCTAAACTTTTCGAAAGACGAGCATTCATATAAACTCCTACCCCTAATTGAATCGCGATTTGTTTAGCATCTCAACCGATTTGAATCGTCACATATTTAAATTGATTTTCAACCGGCTCGAGGTTAATCGTTACATCCCTAAAAGTGATATGGGATGAAGACTGTTGACTAACATGAGGATGATTTGTAATTTAAAAACAGCGAAAGAAAAGAGGGACTTGCTTTCTAACCAGCAAAGAACTTTGTGTCCTTTTGGGTTTGATGCATATATTTTGTATGCACTTCACTGAACTTTATTTACATGTCAGAAAAAGGCTTTTCTGTTATTAGAACACATTCCTACAGTACAAGCAAACATTAATGTCAAGTAGTTGTTTTTTAAACTGTAACATAATTATTGTTATTTTATATTTATTTATGCCAATTAAACATTTAAAAACATTGTTTAAACCAAATTATGTATATGTCAGGGTTGAAAAATCTTGAGTTTGAGGGCTTAAATGAAATCAGACAGACTGTGAGAGGTCTGCAAGAGTAACAGAGAGAGACTGAAAGGTGAACAGGAAGGGAGTCAGTAGTAAGTCTGGTTCTATAAGTTCAGTCTAGATGAGATCTGCAGGTAGATTGCTGTTGGCATACAATGTCCTCTACTTTAACTCTGACCACAAGCTCTCACTCACATTCAAACATACACACACAGGCACTCTGGGACTTGCATAGTAGGAACCCCCCTTTCCAAAGGGCTAACGTAAATGCCTGTCCTGGCTCATCAACATTACCCAACCTAGGATAGTGCCCTATAGTGTCTTCCAAAGACAATTAATAGATCACAATTATTTGCACAGAATTTTTCTGATGAAGTGTCACATAGCTCAAAACTTTACTTGTGGTGAAAACATGTTATAAATATGTTTCTACCTTTAAAGCTATGGTGTGCCAATGTAGTCTTCCTTGTTAAATTACGACTTTTTGTTTCATTTTTACAGATTTTCTTTTATATATATATATATATATATATATATATATATATATCAATAACCTATAAGTACTGAACTGTCAGGCTAATGGACCTGCTCTATTTATTAATATTTATTAAACGCAGGAAACTGAAGGAACCAGCGATTGATTCTTTCAAAGGCCCACACCTGGCATTGACCATGCAGACTCAAATTTATAAACTTGGGCCTTTATCTGTTAGGTTTTAATTCAATTTCTAATTCATTCTATTGTCCATTTACTGTTAAATTACCGTTTTAACTATATTGGCTGCATAACACCATTTGAATAAATAAGAAATTCTGTGAAGCCTATAATGCATCTGTCAGTTTGAACAGCCACACACTAAAATGTACAAAAATGATCAACAAATGAAGTAGTACCCCCCCCCTCCCCCCACAACAGTCCTCCTAGTAATTTATATAAAATCTTACTGACCCCCAAATTTTAACTGTAGTGTACATTCTACTGTACATACTTTGTAAGACAATTATTCCTACAAAGGGCACAAAACATTGCGTATTGTTATCTAACCCCAAATAAGCAAACTTGGTAAAATTTGTCAAAAATTAGATTTTCTGTAGTGCTGAGTCTCAAGACCATCAGCATTGTTCTCAGTCTCAGTAAACTCTTAGTAAAGTCTCCCACACTCAGTGGATCCCTCTGTTCAGCTCAGCCATATTTCGCTCAATATAGAGTCTGTGAACTGTAACCGGTCTAGTGCTCTCAGATCATTTAACTCACTCCTTCCCTCTCCATCTGCTTGTTATCCAACATCAACAGTGCTTCATCATCCGGTGGCTGGAGACGGCACTGTATAGAGACTAGTTGCCATGGCAACAGAGCTGGTCCACTAATACCACTTTTTGCATGGAAATGGGTCCAATATTCATTCAGTTTAACTAAGGTTAAGAGATCGAGAGCTGAATGGCACAAAAAAGGAGACACTGTCTAGAACACAAGGCTTCAAAATCAGTTTAGAAAAAGAAGAAGAAAAATCTCTTTGTTTGAGAGTTGTAAAAACAAAGACAAAACAAAGAGTTGTTAACTATCATGGTGTTATTAACATCCGAGACGAACGTTTGATTTCCAGACAATGCATAAAACAATACAATGTATAACTTGAATGCAGCGTGAGCTGCTTTGTATAAAAGTGTCCGGATAAAAGCACTGCACACTGACCTGTATGCTGGATGTCATTGGATATTGTTGTCAAAGAAAGAGTCGGACCTGTAATTAAAAACATCAGAAAGGTATTAAAAACTTTCCACTTATGAACCCCACCAAACTTGTATGACCTTAAAAATGATCTGAATGATTTCAAACAAAGAATACAAACCCCTGAAAAATTCTCTAAGTGGAATAATATGTGCCCTAAACATGCTAACCAGCAGCACCTGCATACTGAAGAGGTAAAGGGTATGAATATCATTCCTTTGGTAATTGGTTTGGATTCAGTGTGTTTTATATGGTCCAAATGAAAAGCCAGTTAGATTCAGAGGATCCTGTGACAGTTCTCAATTTGTGTCAATCAAAATACTTTTTGGTATTTGAGTTATTGGATTTCATATGGATTTGAAGGTCTTCTTCCATTCTGCTGCCTTTTTTGTATTAAATCTGTTTTGTTTTCTGTCAAGAGTGTTCATGTATCAGTCCATATCTCAGGCTTCTGGTAAAGCTTTCACAGATCCAGCAGGGAGCCTTGTGAATACCACAGAACGGGAAGCAGTAAAGCAACGATGGAATGACAGGTGTCCAAAGAGCCTGACTGGTCCATTCCAGCTCTCTCTGAGTCTAGTCCCTAAAACACACACACACACACACACACACACACACACACACACACACACACACACACACACACACACACACCTGTGGGAGAGAGAAAACTCCTTTTCTGTGACTTGAGTTTCTGCCAGCTCCGTCTGTGTCAACATTTCTACAGTCAGAAAACCTGTCCACGTCCACCTGCTTTTAGCTAATTGTTTCCTGCTGGAGAGGCTAATATTGAGCTGCTATTGTTGAAATAGGCCTGCTAATTTGACCTCTCCTAATGCTGGGTTACAAAGAAAACAGTAGAACATGACTAATGTGGCAAGATTTCTTTATTAAATTTGCTATAATAATATATTATATTAAAAAATCCACACTGAAAGTCTTATAAAAAAAAAAACTATTACTCGTCTGAGCTGTCTTTTTTTCTTCAGGTAAATATTACAAGCAAATTTGGTAAAAGCGGATAAATTAGAAAACATTGTCCATTACTTCAGATATCCAAGAACTGAACCCTAATCTTGGATTCGAATGACTTTCCCTCAGGTTTTAGTGTGGACCTCAGTCTTGACCTCTGATCCCTGATATCACAGTGAGGAAGAGGATGAGGACAGTGATGGTGAAGGTCAGTGAGGTCAGAGGGAGTTGGACTTTGCAGCTGCTTCTCTCTCCTCATTTGACTGGCTTTAGGAGAATAAGTTCTTCTTGGTTTTACAGCACTCCTAATCTATACACACACTTTTATGCCCAAACATGTGTTCTCAAGACCCCGGCTTTGATGCATCCTAAGGCCCCTCTCTCCTTCTATACCCCCTCCCCTCTGAATCCTTTTTTCTCTCTCCATCCCATCCAAATCCTCAAGTAAAAATGTGCGTTAACAAGTTTTGATAGTAAAAGAAGCCTTGAGATCTTAAGGGCCAATCTGTCAGCTCCCTGTGGCTCACCACAGAACCACTGGCTTCATCGCAGACACGAAAAAAGAAAAGAGTGAGAGAGAGAGAATGATAGAGAGACAGAAAGAGAAAGGTGGTCCCAGTAGCTCAAAATCAAGACTTGGTGTACTCTGCCCCATTCAATTGGGTCTAGAGTTTAATACTGGAAAAATCTTCCTTTGCTGTCAATCAAATGCTTTAATAAAAACAAAGTATAACATTGCGGTCTTGCTCACTCTCTCTCTGCCCCTGGGAGAGTGGAAA